CCAAAAACGACCGGTCGTTACTGTTTAGGCGACCGGTCGCACATGATTCTGTGCAAAAACGACCGGTCGTCACTGTTCACGACCGGTCGCACTGTTCACTGTTCACGGCACTGTTTACTGTTCACGGCACTGTTCACGTGTGATAAATAGGTCATAAAAGAGTGATAGAAAGTGCTGTTTGTGTTTTTTCTTTAGTTTTCTTATTTTGTTTCTTTTCTTTTACTTTCCTTTATTCATTTTTAGTTTCCAATTTGTTTTGTGCATTTGTGGTGTGTAAAATAAGTGTTCTTTATGTACTCAAATTAGAACTTATAGGAAGCCGACAAGTTCTTCGTGGGATCGACCCCGTATTTACATAATCTATACTTCAATAGATTCGTGCACTTGCGGGTATTTTTAATTGGTTGTTTGCACATTAATTTGTGTCCTTTTAGGAATACAACACCAAGTAAACATGAAACACCTGATGATTTATCTCCAATATATGTGCATCAGCTTTTCTTAGGAATTTTAAATGTTCAACTAAATATATGAAAGCTGTCCAAGAAGAAAAGAATGTCACATAGTCTTTTATACAAGACTTGTTCTCTCTAGTTAGAGAGAAGCACAGTATGCCACGAATGTTATTGTTCCAGTAGTACCACAACATATGAAACACTTGTTCTATCCTATCATGAATATTAGACTTGATTAACTTTGGATTCCAAGAGATTACGCCAACTAGCCACTCTTTTAGGGAGAACAATATCTCCTAAAACCAATTAACTAGGAGATGAGCAATGTGCAAGTCACAATAGGAAAAGCCTAATATTTTAACTTAAATCAAAGTAGAGTCCAACTAGGAAAGCAATCTCAAGAGATAAAATCTAATCCTATTAAAATAGGACTAACATAAAAGTGCTTGAGTGAAAATAACCTTAATTAGGAATCATATAATGAATGCATGATTATGTCATGATTTACCTGAGATCAAGTTCCTCATATCGATCAAGTCATACTTTGAAAATGCGGGATTGAATGTGTTGTGCCAAAACTTCCAGTAAAAGATATTCATACCCTAATTCCCAACCTATGATAGAGTCTAGAAAATGACAATACAATTTTCATACTAACCCTAGAATCAGATAATGCGTTTATGTCAACCCAACAATCATGACTCATGCCACAACATCCAGTTCTACAGATTTAATAATTATCATCGCTTCATGTAGATGATATGGTCAAACTCCTGAGACTTAGCCAATTACTCTCAGAAGTCAAATATGATGCAAGCAATCCAAAATATAGATGAACTTGCTCATTTTCCTTTGCTAGAGAAGTTCAATAATACAGAATATTAAGAAGATTCTTCAGAAAGCAACTTCCTTTTAATATTGAGTATATGTAAACCAAATTACAACAAAATAAAATGACTTACTTCATAGTATAATTCAACTGCTTCACGAGTGTAATTTTGTTCCTGATCCCATGAGAAAGGCGGGCAGCTTTCTGAAAACATGTTTGAAAGCTCCGGAAACCACAAAATGCACATATATCCAAAAGCATTGGATGCTACATAGAAAACTCATAGGCAATTCAACTTTAAAATATAACAGAACACTTTAAAAGAAGGATATCATGTCCAGATGAGCTGACAACATTTCAGTCTCACAGAAATCCTCAATGAAGTCACTGGACATAACCTCTGCATACAGCAGAAGAACTGGCCAATGAAGAATATTATTCTTATCTAATACAGGCTTTCTTAATCCTGTAAGTTCTTGATACATTGCCTTCCCAATTTTCAGCCCTCTACTTTTGATCGCGGAAACAAGGTCCTGCATAGTTTCAACAAAGAAATAAACATGAGCCTGAGAACAATCACAAACAGTTCATTCATAATTGTATCATTCCATTAATAATATAATCAAACCTTAGCCTCTGATATAGCCTTGGAAACTTGAGCCTCACGCTGTTCGTGTTCCATCTTCTTTGACTCTATCTGCCTTAACAGCTTTTTTAGCTCTTCGTTACTTGGGTCATGCTTAATCCCATTTTGGCAATGCATAGTTGATTCAGGCAACAAGTTCAATGCAAAAGATGCTTTGGCAGCTCGGTACAAAGCCTATTATCCAAACCCATATTGCTAAAATCACAAAAAAGACTAAATATTCAAACAAAGCCCATCTGAGAACAATAACATAGTAAAAAAATTGTGCACCTTGACATTAGTGGAACAGAGCTTAATTGCGTCCTCAGCATCAGTAAGAGCACGTCTGTAGTTACCAAGTAAAAAAAACTCTAACTTTCTGCTCCAGCCACTTCCTAATTATCCAACTTGTTTTCTCCTCTTGTGTTATCTTACTTCATCCCATTACCTACACAAGCCAATGGACAAGAGATAGGATATCTGATTGTCCTCCACGTTCTTTCCTTTTAGTTGGAATTCACATCTATTATCTCAACCACAAACACTCGTATTCATTTCCTTCAATTATGCCTCTATGGAATTAGCAGTGCGATATGAAAATCAAAGCCTCTATGTCTTGTTATACTTTAAACTACTTTTAATGACCTTCTACTTTCTCCTATCACAAGTCATCTTTACGTCTTGTTAATGACCTGCTCTTGTTCTTTTGTGTTTGTCGGCTGAATTCGTTTTTGTAGGTAAATGGACACGTGTGGCCAAATTTACATACAATTTTTGTGTTTGAGAACATACATTCCTTTTCTTTATTTAATGACTCTCGTGCTCTTGTTCTTTTGTGTTTGACAAAATAGAATCACGACAAATTGTACAATAATAGAATTTTGACCGGACCTCTTCTGTAACTACAACAACTCCATCAGCAGCAAAAACCATGTCCCTCACCACTTCAACCTCAACACTTGCAAAAACACCATCAAAGTGAGGGGGTAGGTATACCGTAATTTTAACCATAAGGAATTCATAACATAGGAGAAGATTATTAAGCAAGTCCATTCCCTCAATGCACGTATCATATAGGAACCGTATTCGACACCACACTTGCATGCCCATTAATAATATAATCAAACCTTAGCCTCTGATATAGCCTTGGAAACTTGAGCCTCACGCTGTTCATGTTCCATCTTCTTTGACTCAATTTGCCTTAACAGCTTCTTTAGCTCTTCGTTACTTGGGTCATGCTTAAGCCCATTTTGGCAATGCAAAGTTGATTCAGGCAACAAGTTCAATGCAAAATACGCTTTGGCAACTCGGTACAGAGCCTATTATCAAAACCCATATTGCTAAAATCACAACCAAAAAAAACTAAAATATTCAAACAAAGCCCAGCTGAGAACAATAACATGGTAAAAATTTGAGCACCTTGACATTAGTGGAACAGAGCTTAATTGAGTCCTCAGCATCAGTAAGAGCACGTCTGTAGTTACCAAGTAAAAGATTGACATGGACCCTATTTGAAAAGAGAATAGAGGTGTCAGAGTCACTCAAAGCTTGCTGATTTATTGCTCTCGTGTAGCAATCTTCACATACTCGTTACCCTTCTCCTCCCAAACCCAACCAAAAAATATATATGAAAAAACAAAGACAATATAATCCTATCAAGTGCTTTTATTGTGTGTGTGAGAGAGAGAGAGAAAACCTTGAGTTCAATAGTAGTATTTTCTTTGAGAGCGGCTATGGCATCAAGGTCAGCTCTTTCGCTTTCGGTTTGGGGTTCAGACCCCTTTTCCATCAATAGTGCCATTGCTTCTTCGAATTCGCTTCTTTTCTATTTTGCTTTTCTTGTTCTGCTGCTGGCAGAGTATAGCTAGAACCTTACGCGGAAGCTGGGACTTGCATACATGTTGTGTACAAAGAGCAAAATATAATTGCGAATGCGTTTGCTGGGCTGAGTTTATGTTTTCCTAGTGAGGCCTTTTATGTCATTTGGATTCTCAAGATATATTTTACTGTAGTTTATGTTTTGGACCTATTTTGTTGGACCCAAAAAGAAATAAACTCGTCATTTTCATCGGGTTTTAAGTACCAGATATGCCGACATGTATTGTTAGAGAAAAAATAATAATTGAACTTGCTCTTCACCACAGAAGATTTCGATGAGAAAGCTACGTTCAAACATCATCTCCTGCCAACATTTATTGAGCAGATTGCATGGCTGAAAGTAGTATTGGCATCTCTCTTGAATGGATCCACCCCATACCAATTAATTAATAAGTATGCATAGATGATAAAAATGTCTTTTGAAAGGATCCTTCTATTCCATTTGAAGATGCCTGAAATTGCAAATTAAATATCAAATATTCCATTTGAATTCATTGAGAAACAAGAAATATCTATAAATTACTGTTCAAACATAGATGATAGGCATATATGTAGGATGTAAATATTTATACATCTGGACAAGATCAAATCGATGAGGATGTTATGTTGGCTTTGGGAGACAGAGAAAGGCAAGATATTAATATAATTAGTTGGGAAGAGCTAGCTAGCCTCTGTATATTTAGCCTACTAAGAGTATCTACAATCATGCTCCATATTTCTTAGATAAAATTTAGCTAAAAACACAAAAAAAGTTATTTTAGAAATTCTCTGAAAAAATTCAACTCTAATCATACTCTTTAATTTGGAGAGTCGTAAATGCTTTACTTCTTTTTATCAAAAATACTTTACTTATTTTTAAATTTAATAAAAATAAAAGTGTGGTGATTTATTAGGGTTTGGCAGTCTGGCCAGGCAGCAAATTGGAGATGTGAGAAAACGAGGGAAATGGAATCTTCCTAGAAGTTGGAAGAACTTGTCCTTTATCCTTTTGTCACCATCAGTTACTCTCAGCCATGCAATAACTTTGGGTCCTTGGTTTTCATATTTGATCAAGAAAATTTGGTTTGTTTAGTTTTTGTTTCTGAAATTAGAGGCCAGAAACACATAACCAAACTTTTATCCAGCTTGAATCTGGTGAAATCAAAAGAGAATTGTAAAAACCGAAGGAGAGAGATTAATATTAATGCAGTAAGTTTTTTTATAATTTTTTTTAAAAGTTGGCATTTTTAGCCACAATTGAGAAATTTGTGTCCATATTGAATAAAAATATTATTTTCACATTCTCCAAGAGCTGTTGACAAGAGATGGAGTGCAAGTGAGGCCCAACTAACATCTGAATCAATTGTGTCAAAATATAAGCACAAATATGCTTCATTTGTGGTTTAAATGTCTGACACAAATATGCTTCATTTGTGGTTTAAATATCTGACACGAAGTGATAAATTTGTGCTCTATAAGTAATGAGTAATGGAAACGCTTATAACCAATTCATAGTGGCTACACCATGGTATTCTTATAGAGCACAATTATGCGTGTTTTTTGATATAAAAAGCACAAATAGAATTTGTGCCTTTAGCACATTTTTTTAGTACCAACCCACCACCATCTAATCAGCAAGGAATTCTTCAGGGGTTCTTGGAATCTGGGTTTGATTTACTTTTAATGACCTAAAAACTTTCTCCTGTCACAAGTCATCTTTACGGCCGTAGCACTAAATGGACAATGTGGACATTGAGAACGTATACCCTATAAGGGCTTCTTTTGTTGGGCTTTATAATGGCAATACCTGGACAATGTGGACATTGAGAACGTATACCCTATAAGGGCTTCTTTTGTTGGGCTTTATAATGGCAATACCTGCCTTTGAAAAAGCTAAACTTGAATAAAACAACGAGTTTCATTCAAAAGGGACCATAGGAGTCGTATCAGAAGAAGAAAAAAACAAAAGAGGCAACGGTGTCGATTAGGGGTGGGCATATAAACCGGAAAACCGGAAAACCGAACCAAACCGGATGAAAAAAACCGAAAAAACCGAGTTGACTAAAAAGTCAACAAAATCGGACCAGACCGGACCGGACCGGTCCAAACCGGTTCCAGTTCCGGTTTTGCACGAGATAGCACCGGACCGAACCGGACCGGTCCAGTATTTAATATATATTTTTAAATATATTATATATAATATACAATATAAAAAGTATTATTTTATTAGGCCAGTTCTATTTTGTTAGAATAAAAACTGGCCATATCTGATACAGGCCCACTTTAGTTTACGAATTAGGTTTTCGTTTTCCCTCAGTCAGTCTCTTTCTCCTCCTCTTCTCCTTATCGCTCGACGCTCTCTCTCTCTGCTGCTTCTCTTCTCTCAGACGCAGCACCACGCCGCCGACAACGACAATCACGCCCCTTCGTTCCCAAATCTGATGGGATTTGCAGTCTCGTTGTCTCTGTGAAGGAATAGACGAAACGAATTTGCGATTGGCGCCCCTGATTCTGCCACCTCCTGTGAGTATTTTTTAAAAAAATTTATTTATGTTTCAGTGATATTTGAATCGATTAAATTGGTTGGGGTTTCGTAATT